TTTTATATATTAATCCTTAATGATAAATACAAAATTAATTATATCTGATAAAATAAATAAATAAATATGATAAAATAGATTTGAAATGCCCAAATTCTTGCTTAACACTGATTGGAGCCTGTTTGTTCTGTAATCCAGTCATAGTAGTTGGCCAGTTTGGTGTAGACTCCTGGAGAGTTCTCCTTGGCACACTCGTCTCCAAAGCTTACAACTCCAAGTTGTGCCCAACTTCCATCCTGTGTCTGTGTTATTAAAGGACCTCCACTGTCACCCTGTGGAATGGAAAACAATGAATTATTGATAAGAGGTTTTGAATAACCTATGGTTATTTATTAATTTTGATGTGCATACTTACATAAATAATTTATGTAGGTTTGCCTCTTTGTATGAACATTTTGTGAGGGTAATTCTGGTATGAGCTACAGGATGAATTACATTATTAGCAATCAATTTCTTTATGACCATTACTGCTTTCTGACCTGGCAAGCATCTTTGTTGGGTGTCAGTGTGCAGACCATGTTGTCAGTGATTGTGTAGCTGGGATACAAATCAGCACATGAAGACGTTGAAATCAGGTCAAGGGTCACTTCTTGTAACTTGTTCTTTGCTGTAGAGGTTGCTGTGGAGATCAAATTCAGTCAGTCATTTTCAGTTAACAACTCCATTAACTGAAAGTCCTATCTTAGTGATACATATTTTATTTACATTTTATATTAAACAAGAAGAGACTTACAAAATGCTTCAACACCCCAGCCGGTCACAATGGTGCTAGCCCCAGTCACATAGTCAGCCTCCCGAGCTAGACAAATTGGGCGGACTCGCTCATTGAAGACTGCATTTTGTCCGAGGAACACAAGTGCTATATCGTTATCTTGCTGCAAGTGAGAAATGGGGTTTAAAGTTAAAGTATGCACACTTTTAAAATCATTATCAGGTGTACTATGCAATAGTATAATGTGGCAAATGCAGAACAAGCAGTATACAGAATCTTACCGTTATGTCATCATAATTAGGATGAACAACAAAATCTGAAGACACAAACTGTTGTGTGACACCATCTGTGGTAGTCGATCTGTCATGCTCACCAAGAACGACGGTTACACTAGTAGCTCTGTTGACAGAAAAGTAAAGGGCTTCAGTGCTCTCTTTTTCCTCTACCTCTTATCTGCTATCCTTTCACCCTTTCTACTTTTATATTTTTAACTAATGAATTAGGTGAGCTGAAGGGTTCTTTGTCAATAGTAGTATTTGGCCTAATATGTATCAACAATATATATGCAACAACCTGGATATCTAAGCTAACAACAGATCTTGTAAAAGATTAGCATGTTCACTAGCACTTTCCTCTCCATACTTGCTAACTAGCAAGAGTTTTCCCTTCTGGCTTTAGATTTTAGGTAGCTTTCCTATTATGATCATGCTACGTGACCATTCTGCCACATCTTCACTGCTCTGACATATAATGATAGCAAATTTCATAAATGTAAAAACAGGTAACTTTAGGACTAAATGAAAGTATGTATCCTATGTGGAAGCTACAGTATTGGATCCAGAATGTTTCAAAGGTGGTAGGAGCTTGAGGGTGCTAAAGAAAACTAAGTATGGGTCTGAAAGGACCATTATTGTTATTGTTATTTTTCTTTCTTTCTTTTATTCTTCTTTTCTTTTCTTTCATCCATTTTCCAATTATTTGGGAGCAAACTGTAACACATATGATATATATTGATTATACTTGCCATGTTTACACTGTGATCTTATTTACTCTTATTTCTGCCAATGTTGTACATTCCCTTACCTGACAGCCAAAAAACTATATAGATGAAGAGCTGCAAAGCTGACAAAACCAGTAAATATTATCTAAGAATCCACACCTTATATCCTGTAAACTCACCAGTAAATATTATCGAAGAATCCTTATCTTATATCCTGTAAACTCACCCTGTCTGTTTAAAGCAATGAGCAGCTGTGAGCACCCAAGCATTCTTGATAAGAGAACCGCCACAAATAATGCCATTGCCAAAATTCAAGAGAGCCTGCCATGGGTATTCTCCTGGTGTTGCTTCCTCGCCACCCACAATTCTTGGCACAGTAACCTGGCTGAAGCCACAACCACCTGAGAAAGAGGTTATAGAGAAATGAACTTGATGATTTTAGGTTATTTAACTTTGTCTCTCCAATTTACTACCTTTTGTTCCTATCCAAAGTCTATCTTTCTTGCTGTCTTCCCTCTCTCTTACTCTTTCTCTCTCTCTCTCTCTCTTTCTTACTCTCTCTCTCTCTCTTTTACTCTCTCTCTCTCTCTTACTCTCTCTCTCTCTCTCTCTTACTCACTCTCTCTCTCTCTCACTCTTACTCACTGTAATCCAGTCTCTCTCTCTCTCTCTCTCTCTCTCTCTCTCTCTTTCTCTTTCTCTTTCTCTTTCTCTTTCTCTTTCTCTTTCTCTTTCTCTTTCTCTTTCTCTTTCTCTTTCTCTTTCTCTTTCTCTTTCTCTTTCTCTTT